ATTAGATACAAAAAAGGGATGGGGGAACCCGTGAAGGGATCACAAAAAAGCTCTCCAATTGGATAGCAAGGAAGCATAACTATAACGATGAAAAAATGAGGAAATTTTACACCAAGAGATAACCAAAAGAAACTATAGATTCAAAAGTGTGGTGAGGAGGGTGTTCCTTGTCTTGGAAGGTCCTACAGTTTCATTCCATCCAAAGGGACCAAAGCAGTTATTTCTCCTTTGTGAAGGGATGTCCTGTGAGGGTGAGGGCCAATAGTGAGTGCATATCTGAAGGGAGAGCTACCAGCCAGTCAAAGAGAGGGAGGATTTTGCTCCAAAAGCTGTTGGCGATATCGCAAGAGACGAACACATGCCCGATGGACTCAATGCTTTGTTTACATAAGGCGCACCAGTGTGGAGAGATAGCCATGTATGGTATCCTTCTTTGAAGCTTTTCATGAGTATTTAAGGTAGAAATGCTTGTCTCCCAAAGAAAAAAAATTATTTTCTTTGGGTAATGGTCTTTCCAAATGGTGCTGTACATAGAAGTGTCTTCGGGGGAAGAAGGTGGCTTTTGTAAGTCCCTGAGAAGAGAGCTGGTGGAAAAAATACCATGCGGTTCCAATCTCCAAATAGGTCGATCCATGTCATTGTTGATCCTACAGAAAGAGAGGGTGTGAAGGAGGGATGCTAATTCCACAATCTCTGCATCCTTTAAATTCCTTCTAAACCGAATATCCCATGAATTTGATTCAGTGGACCATAAATCCTTTACATCTACTGTTTTCTTGCTGTACAGTATATAAAGAAGAGGATAGATGGTGTTTAAAGGCTCATTTGACAGCCAAACATCTTTCCAAAAAGAGGTGGTAGAATCATTGCCCACTTTATAGGTTAATCGGTCAAGGACCAATGCTTTTTGCTTGATAATGTCCTTCCAAGGCCCAAGGCTTGTTCTGTTGGATGATGATAAGGGAAAGCGCAAATCTGTGAGGCCATATGTGGCAATAATAACTTCTCTCCAAAGAGCACTTTCTTCAACTTGAAATCTCCAGATCCATTTAGCAAGGAGGACTCTGTTTTTGTCTTTGATGGAGAAAAGACCCAACCCTCCTTCCTCTGTGGGTTTTTGGACTTGGTCCCACCTCACCAAACTTTGACCCATCTCGAATTGGTACTCCTCCAAAGGAAAATTCGGATAAGTCTCTCACGTTCTTTGGCCACCTTATACAGGATAGCAAAGATGGAAAGGTAATAGATTGGGAGATTGAATGATGTGGCTTGTATGAGTGCAAGTCTACCACCTTTGGAAATACGTGTGTTCTCCCCAGAGCTAAGCCTTTTTCTCACTTTTTCTAGAATGGGGTCCCAAAAAGAAGATGAATTCTGCTGGCCAATGAGAGGGAGGCCGAGATAGGTACTGGGCCAAGATCCGAAAATCTGCTAGCTATACTATCCATAACCAATTCCTCCATGTTGATGCCAAAAATTTGAGTCTTTTGGAGGTTTGAGTTCAAGCCAGATGCTTCTTCAAAAAGTTTGATGACAGTAAAGAGATTGGTAATGTGATTGTCTTCGGGAGATGAGAAGAGGATAGTTTCATCAGCAAATTGCAACTAAAAGGAACATCCCTAAGTAGAAGGAGCAAACTTCCAAAGACTCCCTCTCCATCAAAGACTGACTGAGGCCCAAGGAAATATACGACCCAATCCCCCTTAACTCCAGCAGGGGGGCCATAAAATGCAGCCTTATGTCAGATAAGTGATACTGATACAGATGAGGGAATAACGAACAAAGAGATTTATCAACCCACCCAATGGTCCTCCCAGAAGTAGGTTAATTTATTCCTAGACAGTCATTTTAGTCAAGAGATTTTGTTCAGTAAGTTGGTTTGGTAGTAGAAGAAGTTATTGGTGTAAACCAATGGAAAACTAGATTGAATCAGAATACAGATGGGGCTGGCTTTTAATAATGAGCCAACCAACTTTTACAACAGTAAACTTGTTGTAAAAAGGTTGTTAAGTATTGTAATTAACCAATTAAACTAACTAAAACAGATGTAAAATAAAGTATTCTAATTGTACAAGGTTAGCTACACCAGTTCTACTCTATAATCTGTCTTCTTCAAATTTAAGGATACGCTGAGTTCTTATTCTTTTATTAACTAATTATCAATAAAAGGTTCTCTCTTTCTTTTCCATTAAAAGAATAAACTTTATAAGCTGCGGATTCTGAAATTAATAAGCAATTTGAATTAACTTCAAGCATACAAGAGTAATTTTGAGGCTACTAGCTAGTCAAACAATAAATGAAACAGACCGATTAGGATAAAATAGGTGCTTCTCCTTCAAAATTGACACTAGTGCACGAGTATAACTGAGTTTGTAAAATGTCTTAACAATAAAGAGCATTGGATATAATTTCAACTGGCTAAAGGTCTGAATTTGTCATACTCTATAGTTCTCAATGTGTGGGAAGAAAGAGGTGAATCATAAAAGAGAAAAATCCTGCCAGCTAATACTTGGAGAGAAAAGCCAAAAAGAAATATAGCAACACAAATTTGTGAAATGACTATCAATTAACATCACCTGTCACTCCAATCAGATTGTATCCCACGGAAATGGTCAAAAACTGGAAGCAAATCCTTCCGCTTAATTTCTACCTCATGGATAGGTACCTTCTCTATTTCAATCTCCCCATTCATGCAATCTTTTATGCTACTTTGCTCATTAGACCCAGGAAAACTCATTGTATAGAAATGTACCTGCAATAGGGAGGAGAAAGCCGCTGACCTAAGTAACGCCTGAAAAAAGAAGGAACTAAAACAAGGGTACAATGACCAATACCTTGGATTTCTGCCAGATGGGTATCCTCCCAGAGTTTATCTGGACCTCAGAGTTGGATAAGTACAAGAGAGAACACTCATGTGGCTTTACCAACTCCTGGGTCCCAAGATGATTCTCCTCACAAAAGGAAGAATCCTCAACAGCCTCTGCAGTTTCTTTTCTCCTGAGAGTAATTGAGGATATGCATTCCTCCCTCTCTGGCCAAGCAGCTCTTCGGCAAACATCCCACCATTGAACAGGTTCAACTTTCACTCGTAACTCCTCATCTTTCATCTGCATTGAAGCATTTGGGCTTCTCAAAACAGTTTCACCACATTCTCCCCCCATTGATGGCAGCAGTTTATATTGAATCACATGGCCGGAAGGAGTATACACCAACAGATGTTCCAAAGTATTCGAAATTAATTGAGGAGATTGGAGATTCTGAGGTATACAACTATGGAAAACAGCAGAAACTGCACCTGATGGGATGGAAACCTTTCCGGATGCAGAAGCAGCAGCCATACTGACAGTATTAAGCCATCCTGAGTTACAATTTTTTATTCTGCTAACCACTGAAAGAGTGACAGAAGGAGGTGGTGGAGGAGAAAAGGATTTCTGGTTTGTGAAGAAAGATGAAGTTGACCACCAAGGGACACATGAAGCTGGTAAAAGATTAGGCCCATCTACGAAAGAATTGTGCATTTGAAGGACAGTCTCGCCTCCAAAAGGCGAAAGAGCAAAAATGTGGCAAGTTCCCCGGGATGAAACAATAGCTATCCATTGACTATAGTGACTAAAACAAATGTCTTGTATTACCTGGATTGAAAGAAATAAAAAGAACCACTCATAAACACATAAAATACAATGATAATTGATAAGTTAAAGTAAAGGCAAAAACATACAGCTGATGTCATGCCACGATGAAGCTTATAAAGGTGCACGTGAGAGGAGCTCCAATCATAGCTTTGAGTGCCTGATCCATTCTGTACACGGGACGGCATAATCCTAAAAATATTAATATTGCTACCATGTGTTGAGGCAGTAACCAGAAGGGTCCCACTTGGATCGAAACAAAGAGCAGAAATTGGACTTGTGTGAGCCTTAAATTGTGATATAACAGCTCTGGAGACAAAATCTTTCACAACAACCTGCAAAAGGAACATCGTTACTGAACAAAAACTAAGGGAAAAACAAACAGAATTTTCATATTCAACAGATAAGTATAGCCTCATTCATAAGATTATACCCTAACAGGCCATAGGAAGCATATAAGGAGTGGATACCTGGACTCCCTAAAATTATAGGATGGCAAGCCATAGCCAATATCCAAAACTTCAGTGTCATTCACAGAACATGATGCATGGCATCCATTAATCACAAACCTTAGTATGTTGCTATGAAATATCTGTCTAATTTTTATATTTTACTGCTTTCAAAAGTATCAAAAGAAGATATAAAATGTTAATTAATAGAAGTAACAATTATAAAAATATATCAGACTAGTTTCCAATGCAAATGCCAAAATTATGCGCGGAAACCAGAAGACTAACCATTCCAGCAACATCTGTTTCTGCTGAATGTAATGCAAGTCGACCAACTTTCCAACTTGAATTTGTTGATAATGGAGAGTTGGAACCGTCAGGTACGAGCTCTTGATAGTATTTAGATAATGTTTTGTAACCCATGTCACCCAAATTAATTAGCCCAGCAGCCAAATGCTTACTAGATTCCATGGCATATCGGGCCACCAAACTTCCACTGCTAGGTGATGTTGATGGGCTTACACCAGGAGGTGTAAGACTTTGTGGGCTTAAACGACCTGTATTTGACTGCAAAGGATTGTTGGAAGCATAAGCTAACCATCTAGGACCCACAGCCATAGGTCCATAGCCAATATTAATCCCAGATGTTCCTTGGCCACCCATCTCAGGGACTGGATACGTGAGAACACTAAATTTACTCTCGAGGGTAAGAGCATCAAAGCAATAAATCTGGAAACAAAAGGAATAAATTATTAAAATTTTGATGTATTAACATTGACCAGCCTTCATAACCGATTTTGTATTCTTATGAAACACGTGATTGGGTTTCAGCAGCAGAGCCATCAGAAAATAGTCTTGATTATTTTATAAGCCATCAGAAAATAGTCTTGATTTTTATAAGCCATCAGAAAATAGTCTTGATTTTTTATAAGCCCCCAGAAAATGGTCTTCATTAATTACAAGGGCCCTGCAACGATCCAATCAATTTTTTGGGGAAAAGCACATCCTTTATTAAATCAATTGTATGTCAAGTGTTATTAAATGGTTAATAGTGTCTAAGAAAAAAACTATATTCTAAACCTCTTCTCAATTATGAATTAATCAATATTCATATGCATAAGCTAAGCTTACTTGTGTTGCAAGACCAACAGCCACAATTTCAGGACTGCATCTAATCATGTATACAGTTGAGCGAAATCTCAGAACATGAACATAACTGCGAGATTTTAACGAGTAAAACCTAACAGCCGTTGGGGAGAGGGTAATGTTCTCTGAATGATTGTTAGCATATCCATCTCTTGCCAACCCATTTCTGCCAGTTTGCATCAGACCTGAACTCTGGGTCTCATCACAGGCAACAACCAAAAGTATTGGGTGTGATGCTCCAAACCCTTCCTGAGCATCAGACTTAGCTGGAAGAGGCTGCATCTGCAAGAATGTGACTGGATCATCCCGTCTTGAAACCAGTTCACCGACATTGGCGGCATCTTCAACATCAAGAACTTGAAAACCATTTGTATAACCAACTAAAAGCACATGCTTGGAGAAGGATGGACTGAGCTCAAGTCTGTTGAATCCAGCCCATAATACCTGTTTGACCACAATTTTCAAATTCTTATTGAACTACACGCACTGTATTGCATGGTAAGAATTGCACATGCAAGGACAAGTACTACACAAAAGAAATATATTCCATTGCATTACAGAATAAGTTTAGGGTCTGATGCAAACTGGCAGAATTGGTTTCCTTCGCTGCACTAAAGATGCATTGCATTTCATAACAGATGAAAATTTCTGATCAGAATGCTGTTATAAATTTAACCATCCAATTCAAACTAGTGTACATAATGATAAAGAATCTAAATCAAGGTGGTACATACATGATGATAAAAGCAAATCCAAGAAGGCACACGAGAATTTCTTTTAAAAAGTTAACGATACTAATCTCCTAACGCTGTCTCAATAGGTTCTCAGGTTCACAAAATTCTTCATATCATATTGCTTCTGTTCTTGGTAGGACTTCTTGTCCTACTTCTCTGTGATCTATGCATTATCTCTAACAAACATGGCTAAACTTCTGATAGTAGAGTACAGAGTACTAATCAAAAAAGGGAAAAAAAATAGTGAAAGAATAAAGTTTGACTTTTACCCAAAACATCTTTAAAATCCTCATATCTTCCCTTAAAATTGGCCTATTGTTTTCCAACCAAATAACCCAACATAAAGCTAAAAATACACGCTTCCAAAGTGTTCTTTCCTTTTACTTGCAACTTCCCCATAAATATCCTAGCAAAATCAGTGCCCACATACATTTGAAGAATCGAACAAAAAATGAACTAAAAACCAAATTAGTACCACTATTATAACTCATAAGAAAAAGTAAAAAAGGAAAAGGAAAACACAAATGATTATCCGACTGACTTATGATCCTTACAACAAAAAATACACCCATAATAATAGAGGAGAGAAGAGGAAAAAAGGCCCCTTGTTTTCCAACAAATCACAAGTAAGTAATTTTTCCATAATTTTGAAGTCCCAAAGAAATTGAAACTCCGAACGAATATCCCTAAACCATACAAAATGCAAAGGTTCAAAAGAAGTAGAAGATCCTAGACTCACAGCATCCTTCAGATCAAATTATCCTATTGGCTACATCAAGAATAAACAGCGGGCATATCTGTTCAAAGAAAAACAACCACTGAACTAAATTTTAAGTTCGCATTCTACTGAATTCAAATCTACAGTAGCAAAAAGCAACAGATACTGGATGAACAAATATCCCCAACGTTCCAAATCTCTCTTTTTTCATCATTCAGTACCACCAAAAACGACAGCACTAAAATACCCAAATTCTTCTCAAAACAAGTAAATCGCCAAGCTTTTTCCCATTCCAATCGTCGAGACATCCAAACACGAATTTGGGAGAAAATGCAAAAATATTTCTTCAACTAACAAATTCCACATTAAACTAAAATCAATTAATCACAAATCTGAGAAATCAGCTGAAGGAACAGCGTAGCAGCAAAAGTAAAGTGAACCTTGTCTTTGTGGTCATGAGCATCGGCAGAGATGGAGGCAGCGACCGTAGCACTGGCGGAGCGGACACCAGAAGAAGCAGTTTTAATACAAGAGGAGATGAATTTCAAAGAATTGGGGAGAAAGCCGTTGGTGGTTTTGTTGCTACTGCTGCTGCTGTTGTTGCTGTTAACCTTAGCGTAGCTCTTCATAATAAAATCAGGAACAGAGATGGCAGACGGAGGAGGGGCCGGTCACCGGAAAAAATGGACCTCGCCGTACCGATCGGGAATCAGGATACAAGTACGGGACTCATGACGGCGGTGGAGGAGGTAAGGTCGCCGGAGAGTTAAACGATGTCGTTTCGGTTTGGTGGTTGCGGTGGTCGTGGGGCAGGTTTTGGAGTTTTGACCTCTGGCAGAGACACCACGCTTCCTTTCTCTTTCTATTGGAAATCTCTCTCCTCTCTCTCTCCCTTCTTTCTCTCTCTTCCCCTTTACGTATTTTTCTTTTTTTTCTTTTTTTCTTTTTTTTCTTTTTTTAATTAAAGTTTTTTTTAAAGCTAAATCAAAAGAAAATACCCCTGAACTTTATTGTTTAATTCAAAAATACATATATCTTTACCAAAGATTCGATATTACCCGTTTCAAAAATATATTTCTAACAAATATTGGTTAATATTTAAAACCAAAAATAATCTGCCAAAATCTGGAACATCATGTCAACTAGTACGTTGGATGGAAAAAAACTTTACTCTCGAAGATTTATGAGGAAGCTCCTCCTGAATTCCTATGTAATCGAGTAGCATATAGACAAGTGCATCACATAGGAATTATACAAAATTAAAAAATTCACTTGTTTATATGCTACTAGACCATGCATGAATTGAGGAGTTTCTTTCTGAATCTTCCCTTGTTTCTCATTTTCTTAAAAACATTCTCAAAATTGTACGGAACCTTTGAAAACAACAAAAACAAGTTTTTTTTTTATAGTTTAGATTTCTAATTTATTCCAACATAAATAAAAATTATGATTTATCATTTTGAATCCATGTGATTATGCAATTCTATTTTTCTCTAAAAAAAATATAATTAAAGGACAAAAAGGTTACTAAACGCGTCTTGACATCCTAATTTTGTCAAACTCTTCTTCCTCTATTGCTATAATTTCCTTTTAAAAATAATAGCTTATTCCAGGTTAATTCAGGTAAATTTTTACTAGCTACCACGTCAAATTTTTGTTATTTATTCAAATGATATATTTTAAACTTTTATGAATAGTCAGTGGTACTATTGAAATTTTTTAAATGAATGAGATACTTTTTAGACAAATAGCAAATTTTACGATATTCTTTATAATTTAGGTTTTTTATTTTTTTCCCGCCCCACTGTTTTCCGACTCAAGCCTACAGCCCTTCTGTTCTGCGCTGTGCCTAATTAAATTGCTCTATAAGCAAGATGTGCAAAATTACCATTTCCCACACGGTCCTCAAGGGCATTTTTGGAATAAGGCTTTTGGATTCACAAAGTTCGACTTTTTTTTGCCTTGAGTTTTTACTTGATACGTGGGTTTAGTTATCCTAAATTATCAATTTATTAATTTCGTATATCAAAAGTTACAGTATTGTTATCGTATTCTAAATATTTGTTACTTTTGCAATTTTCTAATTCGTGAACTAATACATGTTGTTTATATACAAAATGTTAAACTTTTCAAACTCGTGCTTCTATACGAATTTGAATAACGTTATTTGATTGTACAAAAGAAGAATTTGGGATATTTGAATTAGCGTAATGTGTGTTTTAATTGTGTCCGTAAATAAGGGTATGTTTGATATTCTGTTTTGTTTTCTATTTTTTAAAATTAGTCTTAATAACATTACTTTCCTCTCATATATTTTAAATCTAAGCGGAGTTTCTAAATCTATTTTTAAAAATTTAAAAATTTATTCTTATTTTTTAAATTTTACTTAAAATTTAAATATGTTTCTAAAAATTAAAATTAAAATATATGAAAGAAAATGTTGAAAAGTAATAATCATTTTCTAAAACATAGCATAATTAACAAAATTGTAATCCAATGAGATTAAGTTGGTTTGAACTGTGGTAGGTAATTTCAGAAAATAATTATCATGAAGCTTTTTGTTGTACTAAATTTTAAAAGTATATACATTGTTTTACACTGATTTAAAATTATCGTTGATTTACTAGTTAATCAATTAGATTATCCAACTAGTTAATCAATTAGATTATCTATATTTAAATAACTAATTGATTAATCAAATGATTTATAGTACTTAAAAAATTTTTGTACTCACGATTTTAACCGATTCAACTAAACTCATAATGTTTTTAGTCAAAGGTAGTGTTGGGTGACTTTCCAATTGGTTTACCAGAAAGCATATGAGTGAGGATAAAACAAGTTGAAAGGACTAGTGTTGGTTTGTAAGGATAGTCTACGCTCTTCTAAGTAGTTCAGAACTAGACGGTAGCGCAATCAGATCGCAAGGGATGCACGGTCGCAGTGGTTGCAGAAGAATGTCGAGGCAAAGAGGTGTCGAATCCATATTTCAAATCCTTGTCCGAATCCTGGGCTTGGGGTGTTACAGATGGTATCAGAGCGGAACCTCCCCCAGTAAGATGTGGTTTGGGGACGAACCAAGACAGAAGCTGATGGGCACGTGACGCCCGACTATAGATGAGAGGTACATGAATGAACCGATACCACATCAAAATGAAAGAGATTCCTATGTCAAGTTGGCTATATTCAAACTTTTCTAACGAGATACATACTATTTCTTTAATTTTACACTTTAATAGTCATGTATAACCATATTTAATTAACATATAAACTCATATATTAAATATAAACTGTACTCATTGATTTTGAATTATACAAATTAAATCATCATGAGTCTTTTTTTTTTTAAGTTTTACATATTAATATCAAGAGCCTAAAAACTCTAGACGTATTTTTTAGAATAAGTAAAATTATATCTTTCTTTTTTTCCTTTTTTATTCATAGGGTGTATATCAACCCTATTTAAGATAATAATATATACTTGATTCATTCAATTTTTGCTTCTATAAATATTTTTAAATAGTTTACACTTATTGAAAATTTTTGCATTTTCAACAAATCTATTTTAGTTTTTAGAATTTTGACGTAAAAAGTTTATAAAGGAAGTTAACCATTTGTCTAATCAATAACATTTTCAAATTTATAATACAAATCAATACTTACAAATCAATAAGTTTTGATTGATAAGTATCTAAATATTATTGATAAAAAATTGTATTAAAAAAATATTTAGAGATGATCAACCCAAGCACATGTCAATTAGTTAAGGCTCTTATTAACCAGCTAGAAAGTCCATCACATATGTGGTACTAAAAATTATATTTAGAGAGGTGAAATGACGAATATGGGCAAATTGGAACAAAACGAATATGATGAAAGAAGTAGGTGTGAATTGGAATTTTGCAAAAACGCGTTGAGCGTTCTCAACCAAAAGCCCCCCTCCAACACTCAATTCAACCGCCTTACTTTTTGGGAGCAATTTCAATAATGTAAAGAGGAGAGGTCCACCTGTAATATTAGAAACTTTGGGGGTGCTTTGTGCAAATTCGTGTAAAAAATAACTGTAGCAAACGAACGGGAGGGAACATCCGTTACGTTACGACAACGTATACGAATATCTTTAATAAATATTCTGAAACCATATAAATAAATTCCTTTTTTTCTTTTCTTTTTCTATTTCCATTATTTAATTAAATTATTAATCGTCACATTTTTTTTGAGAATTACGTAAGTATATACCTACATGAAAAAAAAACCCTTTCCATAATGTGATTAAATCCTGCCCTCAATAATTAAGATATTAATAACTCCTTTTTGAAGGTGGTATAGGTTCAAATTTTCATTTTCTATGTTAACCAAAATGTTTAGGATTTAGATCTAGATTTTGCAATGCAAGAGGCTCATGTATATACAAGGGTGCAAATCAAGTTGAACGTACTAATAAAAATAGGTTGTGTCACGTACCTCGGTCTTTTCTCCTATTTAAAAAATTTTCGATCGAATGTAATAACACAATTGAGTCGGGTCTAACCAACTTGATTGAGTCAGGTCTAATAAACCTAGTTAGGTGAAATTCGATCGGATTAAGGTTGGGTCTAGTATGTATGTACGTATATATGTGTGTGAGTGTATGTATATATGTGTGAGTATATATATATATATATAATGTTTTTGTCTCAGGTTTAATTTTATTTATAAATACTTTTTTGCTTCCTTTTGATAAAAAAATATTGTTTTATTGAATAGAAATATGAAAGCAAATAGAGGGGCAGAATAAATGATTTTTAATTAATTTATACATGTATGTTGATACTTTTGAATGAATGATGTATAGGACGATTTTAATAAGTGATTAAAAGAATTGAATTATCTATTCAATAGAAATAAATATATAAGTAAACAAATTTCTATCTTTTTTTTCAAATATTTGAAACTTATATCTGATAAAAAAAGGTCATGAGTTCAAATATCGCAAAGATTAAAAAAAAAGTCAGTTAGTCTAGAATTAAATGAAGTTATTTATTGATTTTAATACCACTCACGTTTTAATCATCCATATTCAACGACAATTTCAACACTCTTCATTAAATTATGATACTTTTTAAAATGTTTTAAAAAATAACCAAAATTCACACAAAACTTGCTAGAGCAAGTGTCAAACCTGACATCTCATCCAGGAATAATCTTAAGGATATTAAATGATTGAAAATCCATTTTAATCCAGTTTCGACTTTCTACGTTTTATAGTCCGTTTGATAACAAGATCTCATTTTATAAACACTATATTTTCTATTTTCTATCTATAATATAGGATAAAAAGCTATACCCTTTCAAAAATATTTTTGAACTATTTATAAATTTTAAATTTACAAAACATGTCACCTACACCAGTTACTATTAATTAACAACTTATATATTTAATTTAAATCATAAAATATGATGTAAAAAGTAAAAATAGGAAAAGTTTATTTTCTTAAATGAATTTAATATTTATTATGTTTAATTATATTATATTATATTTAATTTAAGAATGTCACCTTGAAATCTGATATATATATATATCAAATACCTTACGATTACTTTATTGTTTGAAAAATTATTTCTATTAGATGAGCTTCAATTATACCATATATGTTTGGTTGATAACAAACTTAATTTATGGATAATTTTAACGTTTTAAAGTATTCATAGCATTGAGCTAAGAAAAGAGAAATCCAACGTCTTTTGAATCACTCAAAACGAAGTTCAAATTTAAAAAAAATGATGGTAAAAACAAGTTGGGAAGAAAAAACCTACGTGGAGGTGATGTGACAAATTGACCACATAGAAATTGACACGTGGCATAAACACGTATCTTTGTTGATGTGGCATATGGACGGAAGTCAATTGAACGAGTGAGAAGACTAC